CGCCCGGGGGCGCCCCGCCCATAGCCGCATGCCCGGGGGCGGGGCCCCCCCATAGCCACGCGCCTGGGGCCGGTGTCCCCTCCAAGGGCTGCGCGCCTGGGACCAGCACTCCCCCTGCCATTCGTGGCGCTCCCAGGGCCGGCACTCACCGTGCGCCATGTGCCTGGGGCTGGCGCCCTCCCCCCCCCAAGCGCCGCGCGCCCAGAGCGCGGGCGGCCAATTTGCGGCGCTCCCGGGGCTGGTGTTCACTGTGAGCCATGCACCCAGGGCCAGCTCTGGCACCATGTATGCGCCACATGCCTGGGGCCAGGCCAGCCCCTAGTACTTGGCGGGCGCACACAAATGCCCCCGCGGGCGCCATGGCGCCCGCAGGCACCGTGTTGGGGACCACTGATCTAAGAAATAGTTTCAATAATGTTTAATAAACAGAACTCTAGCTTTCCTAAAATAGCTTTTCAACAGTAGTAATCTTTATAGTATACATCAACAGTTCTTTTTAACATTAATATTGCATTAGACCCTAGAGCTGGAGTGGTCAATAAAATGGTGGCGGTTCACCAGAATTAGTCCCTGGTGGAATGCCACTGCTGTGTTTACCTGTGCCTCTGTAGGTATTAGATGATCGCAGCTCTCATTGGCCACGAATTGCTGTGCATCGGGACGCTGCGTCCCACCTCTTGCATGGGCCGCAAATAGCGATTTGTGACCAACAAGAGCTGAGATTGTCTGATCCTGTGGTGTTGCAGGTAAACATAGTGGTGAGGGCCCACCAGGGCTTAACTCTGTGGACCAGATCCAGCCTGCCGGCTGGAATTTGCCCACCCCTGTCCTAGCGGTCTCAACCAGATCAGAGCTACTGCTACTGAAACACTTATAAATCCACACCAATGTGTATTGCCTATATTAAGTGATCGTGCTACTGAAATTCTTAATATCATAATGTTTTTGAAGTTAATGAACAAAACTAAATTTTAAATTGGATGGTACGTACGGTTATAATGTGATTGATAAAACCTATATTTGTTTGCTTTGTCCTCTGCAGAAAATTGTATCAACTATCAGTAGTTTAGTGATTATGTTCTGTGCTTGTAACAATACCAGAAAATGTGGCAATTGTAGAAATGCTAAATAGCTGTTTTTGTTTCAGTTTTCACCAAAAAGTTTAGCAGTTATTGGACATCTAGCGTGGTGAAAATAAGGAAAGAACAATAAAATAATCAGTCAAGTTAGATATTTTCAGATCCTAGAATCAAGGCCAGCCTTAGTGGTGGGTCACCCAAGACACCACTGACCAGGGAACCACCCAGGGCGCTGTGATCAGGAGAGTGCAAAGCGGCATTGCAGAGGTGTGTGCTGCAGGTGTAGTACCAGACAGTGCTCCTGGCTGGCCGCGGAGGACTGCAAACTCTCACAAGTGACACATGGAGAGTGTCCAGATTTCTCCTCCTTTCTGGCTGAGGACCATGTGTAGGCAGGGAGGCGGTGACTCAGGTTCTGCTTGCCCATACCCCTGGAGGGGACTGTGACGGAGGGAGTGAAGAGCAATGTGCTGTGCTTCTAGCATCAGGAGCTGCTGCTCTCCTGCCTTCCCCTTGTGCAGAATAAATCTGGACAACTGGAGAAATTATCTGAAATAGGATGTGATTCAATACAATAAATGCAAAGTATTCCACTTAGATACAACTGCTTAGGAAGAAATACTCCGGAAAGAGATCTAGGTGTCACAAGCTAGATCTAGGTGTCTCAAGCTAAGTATGAGTCAACAGTGTAACACTTACAAAAAAAGTGGTTGTTCTGGGATGTGTTAACCAAGACACAAGAAGGAATTCTTCCTCTCTGCTCTGTGCTGTTTACTCCAGCTGAGGCCTATTGTGTCCAGTTCTGGGTGCCATATTTCAGGAAAGATGTGGACAAATTAGAGAAAGTCCAGAAAAGAGCAATAAAATAATTAAAGATGCAGAAAATTGGCCCATCAGAGAAGACTGAGGAAAAAATGGGGTTTGTTTGGAAGAAGACTGAGAGGAGACCTTACAATTTTCAAGTACATAAAATGTTGTTTCAAGGAAGAGGGAGAAAAATTGTTCCCTTTAATGTCTGTCAATAGGGCAAGAAGCAGTGAGTTTAAATTCCAGCAAGAGAGATTTAGGGTAGACATTAGGAAAAAATTCCTAACTGTCACGGTAGTTGCTTGGGAAGGTTGTGGAATCCGGTCAGATAAGGGTGATGCTTATGAGTTACCAGTTAACTGGCTGCAGTGTGGGGGGCTGCTGCAGCCTAGCTGGGTCCCCTGTTCGCAGGATGCTGTTTAAGTGGTTATCTAACATTTAACCAGGCCACTAATTAAATGACATTTTACATGTCTAATCATGAGTACAGGAGACTGAAGTAGAAGACCTCTCAAGGTCCTTTACACACACACACACACACAATCACGGAACTGAAATGTTTGGCATAATTTTTGTATAATAACTTATGAGTACAAACAAGTGCAGATAAAACACAGTGGTAAAAATATTTAGCATTTTAAAAATTGTTTTTTGCATGTTCAATATTGAGGATTATATTCTCACCAAACAAATTTGTGTTTTTACACTTGCCCTGTATTTCACCATTCCAGTTATGCTGTTTTCTGTGAATTTAAACTTGTTACACCTTGGTTCGGTGATGTGATGTGAGCCTCAAGGGTTAAAGCCGACTATCCAGTGAAAACTACTGGATGATGGTGAAACAAATGATTTTTATTAAGTGGTCAAAACCAGCAATTAACAAGTAGGTGTTTAAACTAGCAATTGCTTAGTACTTTTACAGCATAGAAAAGCTTGGGCACAATTATACCCAACTGATTACAATTCTTTGATTACAATTCACTTATATCAAATCACTATTCCTAATTCGCCTAAGACAACGTAGCATACAAATGAAAAATACAAAAAAACAAAGCCAAAGTAATGATAATAAAAGAACCGTCCAAAGCCAGCCCCTCTATGGTTATTTTAGGACAGCTGGTGGAGTTAGTTATAAATCTACTTTTACAACTTAACAACTCCGGGGTTTCTATTTCTAACACTTATACTTAACCTAAATACAACACTACTATACAACACAAAATTATACAATTTACACAGCGTGGTTAACAGAACTTAGATACACTTTACAGAATTACACAGTGAAATTAACACAATTTGACTATTAATTAAACCAATAACTAATACATTTAAACAATACTTACAAATCCAGAAACGATAACGACACAAAGACACACTAGAACTCGGAGCATGCTCAGGACTCGTGCACCCCTATATTTGATTCGAAGGGTGGGGAGGCAGCCTCAGGGTGATCAATCCTTTAGCCAGGCAAAAAAAAAGACACGTGCCCTCAATACACGGAACCTCCGTCGAACAAAGGGATTGAGGGTCTTTATACAAAACTTCGGTGTCTGTTGCCATGCTAGGGTCTGCATTTGGCAGGGCCTGATAGGCTAGTGATGAGGTAGTATGACAATATTGCCCTATAGGAATTTTCGTGATGTATGCGTGATCCCCTCGTGGACAGGACCAGATGGGGCATAGTTAGTGTTAGACAATTATGTTTTATTACCCTATGTTTCCTTTTTCCCTTGCCCCTAAGACTGGTCAAGCTACGGTCAAATGAGGCTTATCTGTAAGCACTATCTAGTCATGCTCACCTCCCTATTTTTTGGCGCCTGTGAGTCCCAGAATGCCTATAAGATCAAATTCCATTCACAAAACTGCATTGTGCTACCCATGCTCCTCTGAGTATCTGGGTTTTGTGTGAGGGGCCTTGTGTGGCAGGATGGGCTATACGCGAAGGCTATGGACAGAAAAAGCCTGCTTTACAACAAAACTGAGCGTAATTGCGCAGGTTTTTATAGAATGTGAATCATTCTGTTTATCAAGAGTCATTTGTGCCCTTCTATCTTCTGCCCTCGAAGCTGAAGTGCATCAGGAGCCCATTACCTCCTCTGTTTCCTGAGCGATGATGTAAAGCTCTTTCTCTGGCTTCTGAAATTGCTATCGTGTGCTAAGTTTCAGATTTCACCCTTGTAGCTTGGATATGGGTTGAATGCCAGTACAATTTGCTATGTTAGGGATTTGCTGCTACTCTTTGGTAACACAAGAAAATACATTAGAGACTGCATTGCGCAAAATGGTTCTGCTTCCCCACCTCCCCGGGTGCAAGAATTCTTCTAATTATTATCATTAGAACTAGGGATGTAAGCAACTAGTCGACTATCCGATCAACAAAAGCTTATTAGATAGTCAACTAGTCCCTCTATCGGAAGCAGCAAGGGGGGAGGAGAGCTGGTGCTGGGGGTAGCTGGCTTAAAAGCTATCTGCCACTCCCCCCCCCCCCCCCCCCCCCGCCCCCGTCAGGGGAGAGGCAGGGACCAGGCTCCTGCTCCAGTTCCTGATGCCGCAACTGTGCTTTTTAAATGTATTAAGAGCTGATTCCCAGCTCATGCTGGGTTTAAAATCTATTAAGAGCCTGCTGCACTTTAGCCTTTTAAATATATTGAGAGCCAGCAGGCTCTTAATGCATTTAAAAGGCAGAGCTGCAGTG